GAGTGAGGAATATGAGTTTGATGTGTGCATTAGATTTGAAATAAGTAACTTCATCTTGTGTGACTGAGTGTCACTGTGATGCCTGCTGCCACGACAAGATTAACACTTTGTGGCCCCGGCTTCCAAGCAGGCCCGCGCTCTGTGGGACCCTGATAAGACACACTGAAGACGCACCGCACCTTCAACTGAACTGTTAAAAGCAGCGGCTTTTCGGCCACATCCTTGGAAGCCAGGACCATCCTCTGTGGTTACTTTGGTCTCTGAGTTTGGGAGGTCGCCACGCGGTCCTCCCCTGAGCTCGTCAGGTTAGCACGTGGCCGCTTTTCCTCCACAACCACCTTCCTCATGGACAGCAGGACAGTACACGGCTGTCCTCGCCCAGCGCCCCACGTGTCTTTTCACGCCCCTGGGCTCATTTTCTAATAGTATTTGTCTTACCTTAACCAAGCATCTTTTGCATCTAGGCTAACAGTCCTTTGGAATGTCAGGGTAATGCCCCTTTCCCCAGACCCTCAGGGCACAACCCACCCACCAGGGCGGGACCATACCTCTGCCATTATGATGTTAATTGTTCACTGTTAACTGTCCTGTACCCAACCCTAAGTCAAAGATGTATGTGTCGGTCGTTTTACTTTCCATCCAACCCCAGAGGTCTCCCTGACATGCTTTCTCCCGCCTCCCTCATCTCTCACCAGTGGATTTCCTGTAACCCACTTACACTCCTCTTTCGATTGTAATGCATAAAGCAAGGTGCAAAACTGCCCTCCTCCAGAGCACTCTCAGTCCATTAGGATTCTGCTTCCTGGAAATTGTCAACAGTTTGGTTCAAATACACTCACAAAGTTTTTTCACAGGATTGGATGTTTCTTACTGTAGAGTTTTGAGTTCTTTATTTCAGATAAAATCCTTGGTTCCACATGTGGTTCGCAAAGACTTCATCTGCCGTTTGTCTTGTCCAAACAGGGTCTTTCCCGAAGCAAAAGTTCCTCGTTTGACAAGTTCCAGGTTCAGAGTTCTTCCCCTTTATGGGTCGTGCTTTGAGGCCAAGTCTAAGAACTCCGCTAGCCCTTAAATACCCTGGGTTTTCCACAAGTGTGATACACTTACACCTTACACGTATGTCTGTGCCCCGTTTTAACTTAACTGTTGGACGAGGTTGGATGAGATTTAGGCTGGGTTTCAGGGCTGTCTGTGGGTGTCCAATCACTGAACATAAAGGGTCCCTACAGTAGGCCGACTTTCAGAGTGGCTCCCACAGGGCCCCTCCTAGGAGTACACTCTATGTCATCCTCTCTCCTTGAGGATGGGCTGCCCAGTGACTTGTTTCTCACGAAGAAGTGACAGGCTGTCATTTCCGAAATCAGCTGTATGAGACTGGCATCCATCTTGCTGGCTCTGACGAAGCCAGCTGCCACGTGGAGAAGCCCAGCTGGCGAGGGACAGAGGGCGCCGAGGATGTGAGGAGCCAAGTCCTGCCAGCAACCAGCTGAGTGAGCCTGGACCTGGCTCTGTCCCCAGTCGAGCCTTCAGATGAGGCCCCGGCCCTGGCTGACACCTTGACCACAGTCTATGACAGCCTGAATGAGAGGACCCCATTTGGCCACAGGAGCTGGGATAATAAATCTCTCACGAGCCACTAGGTTTGGAGAAATGTGTTATGCAGTGACAGGTAACTAAGACAGCCTTGCTCAGCCTGTCTGTGTGGCTTCTGCCCAAGGAGGGAATGAAGGTTCCTTGGGAAATGGAAATTCTGGAGCACAGCAAGTGCACCGATGGCTGCCACACCTGGAAACCCTCTCAAAAATCACAGGGCCCTCGGGGGACATGCCACAGGACCTCACATGGCTGGGCATTCACATGGGGTGTAGCAGGCACTGGACCAGGTTCCGGGGCCCACCCAACTCAACCAAGTCTCCACAGAGCCTTTAGGACTGCTCCATAGTGGACTCCCCACATCCCAACTGATTAATCCTGTCTGAAGACCATCCCTGCCCAGCCTATTAGCAATGTGCAGAATGCCCTGGCTGGGGTGCTAAGTGGTTAGAGCACCGGCCCACACACCGAAGAGTCGTGGGTTCGATTCTGGTCCAGGGCACGTAGCTGGGTTGCAGGTTCGACCCCCAGCCCTGGTCAGGGCACACTGAGGAAGCAACCAATTGATGTGTCTCCCTCACATCAATGTCTCTCTCCTCCCTCCCTTTTAACTCTAAAAATCGATGCAAAAAATACCCTCTGGGCCCGGCCAGGCGTGGCTCAGGAGATCAGAGTTCAATTCCCAGTCAGGGCACATTCCCGGGCTTCAGGCTCGATCCTCAGTGGGGAGCGTGAAGGAGGCAGCCGATCAATGACTCATCATTGGTGTTTCTCTCTCCCTCTCCTTTCCTCTCTCTGAAATCAATAAAGACATATTTTTTTTAAAAAAAATACCCTATGGGGAGGATTAACAAAAGCCCAAAACAAATGCCACTCCAGGTTCTTAAACATAAAATTAATACACACCTAACGATCCAAAGGCCCACTCCCCCACCCCCACTCGTCAGGGGAAGGCACTCGCACTCGGCCAAGCACAGTAACGTGACTTTACCCATCAGGCCTTTCAGATCTGCCTGCGTGGGGGAAGGAAAGACCCTGTAAACTGCATTCATCAGAAGAGCTGTCCGCTTGGGTCCAGGCCGAGGCCGCTGACTCACCGGGAGGCTGGTCAACATCGTCCGATCAAAGGGACAGGAATCAGCACTTTTACAGCTGAAACAGAGCAGGCAGAGGACAGGATCCTGATGGGCCAGCGGAAACCAGATGGCTTCACAATACATGAGAAAAGGCGGCGGGGGGACGTAGGATGACAACCCTGATAAGCTGACCACGTCCATCTATACATGGGAAGATAGGAAAATGAATCACCGACGGGCGTGAGATAGCGATCGGCCTGGGACTGGGAAGAATTAATCATGCTGGACAAACTTAATTCCCTTCCGACACTCTCCGTTCAATGTACAAGAGTCAGGAATAAAGGCAACTCAATCCCAGCCTCTTGGGTATGTGTAGCTCATACAGAAAATACTAGATTATGTTAACAGCATTAAAAGGCCTGAAGATTGATTTCCTGGGGGCTCAAGAGCATTCCAAGAATTTAACGTGACGCAAAGGCTAGTAGCCAGGGCAGATTCTTCTAGAACCCGAGTCGGGTATCGTGTCCCTGCTCAGGACCGCCCAGCTGCCCACCTTGCTCAGAAGGAAGCCCAAGTCCACGCTGCAGCCCCCAGACTCTGACCTCTCACCTGCTCCCGCCAGCCCCATCTCTCTGAACCAGTTTAAGGACCCACGTCCACCCTCCGCCGCAGACCAGTCCTCCCAGGCCTCAGCCCCAAGTCCAGAACCTCACACTGAATTAACCTCCTAGGACGGGGCTCCTCAGCCTGGAGGCCTCTGAGCTACAGACAAGGTGTCTGCCCTGTCTCCAGCTCCCCCGTCCCCGGGGACCCCCCAGACATACCAGGGGAACTGACACTCCGGCTGGAAGCAGGTGGGCAGGGAGGGGAGGGCACAGGTGTAACCAGTCACCCAGTCCCTGGATGAGGTCAGGGGCCCCCATGCCCTGCGCCTGCCCGCTGGAGCCCTCCTTTCCCATGAAAGGGGGCCCATCTGCAGCTGCACAGCTCTCAGCCTGCATGCTGTCTGTGGCATCTGGGGGGTCAAATGCCTTCCACTTCACACTGCCTGTCCATAGTCCAACCTGGCAGCGTTCTTGCCGGTTGAGTTCTTTCAAAAGCTCCCAAGTCTCCTGTGAATCTTACTGGGGTCCATTTGACCCCAAGCACATGCACAGGTCTCCTTAAAACAAGCCCTCCTCTTGGGCTCCTGCTGTGAAACAAGAAGTCGTATTGTTTGACAGAAGTGCACTGAAGCGGCCTTAACAAATGTTGGTCAGGCCACAGCCATCTTCCCAGCTGACACCTGATCTCAGCTGAGCTTGGAGACCATTTTTAAGCACTAGCCTCACCCGCCACCTGGAAAGGCTGACAACTGAGACCATCCAGGGTGCTTCCGCCCGGGGGCCCTCAGCTGCTCTCCCCTCCCCTTGGGTGTGAGTGGCTGGCAGCCAGAGGCACCTTCAGAGCTGACTAGTCCCACTGGGGTGGTCCCGCCCTGTCACTCCCCATTACCCAGCAGCCTCTCCCTGAGCCCCACCCCCAGGCACCCACTGCCCAGCCACCCACACCTGACTGCAGGCAGCCTGCACCCGTCCCCTCAGGGCCTTGCACCTGCTGCCCTCTGGGGTGAGGTCTCATCCCCAGTGGCTGTTGCTGCTGAAACGCAACCATCAGGCATCTCCCAACCACCCTGTAAAAAATGACGTCCCACCACCCAGTCACCCCCACCCTCCCCACGCCCTCACCCTTTAGCCTGACACACGTACTATCTTCTGTCCCCACCAAGGCCTGAGTGCAGACTTCGGAGCAGTTTCCTGCACATCCCGCGTTCGTGTCCACTGATCAGTGCCTGACAGTGTGGGCTCAACACATTAAATGAACAAAGACGGCTCCTGCCCCAGAAACACCCTGAAGTGGCCAAAGCCCAACCCCTCTTGTTGTGCGGCATCACTTCCGAGGGAGCATCCTTGGGGCGTGTGGCTGTGGGCTGGGGCCAGGTCCACGTGACTGGAAGATGCGTGGACAGGGGAGCCCCTCGGGACCCAGCCCAACACCCGCTCTGCTCCAGGGCGACTGTGCAGCCGTCTCGGGAGACAAGGAAGGGCTGCCACCCTGTTGCTGAGTGAGCGTCAATCCTAGGTCCCCGCAAGCAGGGGACTACTGGGTGCACCCAGCATGCGACTGCTCTGCTCTAAACCCACAGTGGAGGTAGGTCCTCCTAAGCTGGGGACACACACACGCAAGCCTGGGCCACAACTGTCACCACCACGTGCTGTCCTCCCCAGGGCCGTGTGGTAAGGACAGAGGCGCCGGGGGCCCTGCACACACAGGAACTGCCTCGCAGTCGGCTCATCTGGCAGTGCGGTCAGTCAGAGGTTTTACTTCTGTGATTTCATTCCATACAAAAGCAGTAAAAACAACAGTCTCCACAAGAAGCTGACAACTGAGTATTTGAACAGAAAATCTGCACACATTACCATTCACAGCAATTTCACATGGTAAGTTAACTGTAAAACGGTCTTTCTAAATCCCTTTGCTGCCTTAACTCTTGGAGGATCATTGGTAGAAGGCCTGCTGGCTATTTACAAGTACCCAATCTAGGCTGCACAACTTACATAAAACTACTACGTTAGCATCTTTGACTAGTTAGTGCTCTGTATGCAGGAAAAAGTCACCTTAACATATTGACAAAAAGGCCAAAAATTAAGTTTCCATAAAGATATTAATTAAAGGACCCCACTGTAAGAAAACTCAGACATCAGTAAGAAAGCTGGTCGAGACCGGTCCCTGCACAGTGAAACCCACACCAGCACCTGTGCACCCCCCAGCAGCACCTTGACGTCTGAAACACGGTGGAAATGGCTCAGGTGCCTGTCGGGTGGACTGGGGAGAGCGGGGACCAAGCAGTCCGTCAAAGTCAATTTTCATTGGATTTAGTTGCATTTACAATTTAAAACATGCAAAATACACTCAATGTACATAAGTTTGTCTTGTAAGAAAATAAGGCAGGATCGCAATTCACGTGAGAATAAACTATTAACAGGAGCCCCGCAGTGTGACAAGCGCGCAGCACGTGCTCGGCGGGCCTGCACCTGGCCAGGTTGAGGCGACTTGCTCGCTGCAGCCGCCGCGTGGCCGGCGCCGGTTAGCTCATGGCTGACAAGTCCTTCAAGGGTTCTGTCAAACACGCTTCCAGGTCAAACTCGTCCTCCAGCTGGCAGTCCACGTGTCTCACCTTGGTGGGTGTGCCCGAGAACACGTCCTAGAAAACAGAAGCACAGGTCACGCCGCTTCCTCACCGAGGACTTGTGACCGGTGGCGCTAAACCCACTGAAGGAGGGAGTGCAGCTTCCCGACCACAGCCAAGGCCGGTCATTACCAGCAAAGGGCTGCCACGCTGGAGCCCGAGATTCAAAACAAGAGCTGATTAAGATTCACAGATCACATCAGACTTTATTTTAGCTGAATGTGTCACATTCCTACCTACCAGCACCCCCCCAGCTAGAACCCAACTGGCTCTTTAAGGCCTCTGAGCTGCCACCGCTCACCTTGAACAGGGGAACAGGAGGTGCAGGGAGCACTAGACGCCTGCCGACACCTGTCACCTGACACGTGAGACAGTCACTCCAGACCACGCAGCACCCGCTCACCAGCAGAAGGGCCCGAGGACAGCCCCTTCCCAAGCCCACCTCACCCCCAAAGCAGAGGCCACCCCCGACACCCTGGATATGCTATATACAAGGCACTGTGTAAACAGTTCGGGTGTACACACTGCCTTGCTTTTCATAAGCGCAGAGAGAATGCGAAGAGGCTGCACAACAGGAACAGTGGGTCTCGGGACAGGAGGGAGCATTCAGTTTAATATATTTCTGGTTGCTTTAATGAACAGGTTTTGCTTTTTTCATTTAAAAAGTTTAATTCAAAGTTCATGTTTACAATTTAGGGAGTTTAAACCAACTGAAGCTCAATGTTTATTCCAACGAAAACCAAAATTTTACATGTTTTAAAAAAAATCAATGTTATGGGGGGAAAGGCAGGAAAACTATTCTAAGATAAACATGGCAATTTAAATGTGTGACCGTTAACTGAATTCTGAATTTAAAAAAGTAAAAGAGCCCGGCGGGCGTGGCTCAGCGGTTGAGCATCGACCTAGGATCCAGAAGATTTCGGTTTGACTCTGGTCAGGGCACATGCCCAGGTTGTGGGTTTGATCCCCAGCGGGGGGTGTGCAGGAGGCAGCCAATCAATGACTCATCATTGATGTTTCTCTCTCTCTCTCCCCCCCTTCCTCTCTCTCAAATCAATAAAGATGTATTTATTTAAAAAAAGAAAGACCCTATAAAAAGATTACTGGGACGGCTGAGAATCCTGAACGTGCACTGTGCACTGCACAGCAGTGTGGTCCCAGTGCTACATGTCCTGAGCACAGGAGCTGCCATCACCTGTGGGGATGTCCGGTGTTTAGTGGTGCAGTCCCGTGACCCTGCGGCCCACTTGCCTCGTTAAGACACACAGGAGCCGGGCCAGGAGAGGCTCAGAGGTTGAGCGTCGACCTGGGATCCAGACAATCGGGGTTCGATTCCCAGTCATAGTACATGCCCATGTTTCGGGCTCTATCAATGACTCTCTCATCATTGGTGTTTCTCTCTCTCTCTCCCTCTCCTTTCCTCTCTCTGAAATCAGTAAAGATATATTTTAAAAAAAGAAGACGCACAGGAGCAGACGGCTCCTGGGTGTTCATCGCACTAAATCCAGCCATCCCGGAGCCACCTCGCCCTAGTGCCCCCATGACTCTCGCCAGGGCCCCTGCCTCTCATCTTCACGGTCTGGCTCCTGGCACGCACCTGTGCAGTCTCACCTCTCCCCAACACCCAAGGCCTGGGTGTGTCTTCCTAACTTCTGAGACTATAAGCTGTAGTTCACAATTCTGTTCAGAACCTGAACTGGGACAAGGTTACTATACATCCACACCAAGGAAACCACCTGCTGAGATCCTTGCCTTTCTGGGAACGTCCTGGTGTGAACTACCCTGTTTTTATTCCCCTCGACAATTCCCCCACGTCACTGTCTTTAAAAACAATCTCTCATAGTGAGCAGTATTCCTCAGGTTGTAAACTACACGCGCCACTCCTCTACTGCTAGACATTCGTGCCCCTTCTAACCCCATTCCCACTGTCAGTCACAGAGCGTGTGGCGCATGCGGTCAGAGCCAGGAAGACAGGGAACAGCTCACCAGCGGAAACAAGAGAAGGAGGCATCGCCCTGCGCACGAGAGGTTGCCAGTGCGATCCCCCATCAGGGCACAGGCCCGGGTTACAGGCTCAAGCCCCAGTAGGGGGCATGTGGGAGGCANAAGACAGGGAACAGCTCACCAGCGGAAACAAGAGAAGGAGGCATCGCCCTGCGCACGAGAGGTTGCCAGTGCGATCCCCCATCAGGGCACAGGCCCAGGTTACAGGCTCAAGCCCCAGTAGGGGGCATGTGGGAGGCAGATCGATGTCTCTTATCTCTCTAAACAAAATCAATGAAAACCTATTTTAAATTTTTTTTAAAAAAGCAACCAATAAATGCATAAGTGGAACCAAAAAAATTGATGTCTCTCTCTCCCTTCCTCTAAAATAAATAAAAATTTTAAGTCTGCAAGAACATGCACCCACCTNACCAAAAAAATTGATGTCTCTCTCTCCCTTCCTCTAAAATAAATAAAAATTTTAAAAGTCTGCAAGAACATGCACCCACCCAACAACTACAGATTTGGAGATGAGGCCATTTCTTTTAATTGCTTTTCACCTTGGAATTTTTCCTCCTCAAAAACATGATGTGTTTATGGATTTCAGAGAGAGGAAGTGAGAGACAGAAACATTAATGATGAGAGTGTCATTGATCGGCTGCCTCCCGCATGCGCCCTCCTGGGGACTGAGCCTGAAACCCAGGCCTGTGCCCTGAGTGGGAATCAAACCGAAATCTCCTGGATCGTAGGCTGACGCTCAACCTCTTAGCCACACTGGCCGGGCCATGGTGTGTTTTTTAAGTTGGCAGATGTGGGGGAGATCCCCAGGCCCACAGCGCTGTGCTGCCGTAACAATGCGCAGCTACCAGCACAGGCTCCACACAGCCTCAAATCACCACCGCAGCCCTGCCTGTGTAGATGCCGGAACCAGAGTGAAAAGCTTTTACTTTCCAATGAAAATGACGTTAGCTGGACTGAACCAAAAACCTACTGAATTAAATCAAATCACGATGATGGTTATGCAGAGAAAGGGGAGGGGAGGGAGCCCCTTTCTCACAGACATCAGAATGAAACCTCAGTTTACAAAGGGGCACATACTGTCAACAAGTGACCTGAAAGGCCCTCGCTAAGACAAAACCAAGGACAGGTACTCACGGAGTTATTATCCTGAGAGCTGGCCTGGGACTCGGAGCTGCTCTCTGTGGATTCCGTCTCCATTTCCCCGAGGTCCACGGGATGTCTGTGAAACCAAACGGGCATCAGTCACCGCTTAACAAAGCCAGGAGGCCTGCGATACAGGAAAGTTCTCCAAGTCTGTGAGCTAAAAACAAACGTCACCAATACCAAGATACCCATGAGGAGAGCCACCTTCAGGGACTCCCAGGTGCCGACTGAACCCCTGTGGGTCAGCCAGAGCTGCAGATGGTGCCAGTTCGTGGCTCAGAGCACCAGTCTGCCCCAACTCGACCTCCGCAGAGCTATGTACACCAGCGGGCATCCTTCTAAGTAGAAGAACCAATAATCAGCCCAGCCTGGTGGCGGGGGAAAGAACCTCATGACAGACCAGACAACACAGCATCACAAATTTGTCCAACTTTGTATACTTATAGAGACTAGAACAATAGCGTCACACTAGAAAAAAACTGGTACGACATTTGTGAGGCCAAATTTGTAAAGCCTCGTTAGAAATCGCTTCAAACACAACAGCTTCTAATACATTTCCCAGCGCAAAGCAAAACCGAAGCCACTGCACAGGGGGGCAGCACAAGAGCACCCTCTCCGCCGCCCGGTCCCGCCCGCACCGGGCCACCTGGCGAACATTCAGGCCTGACATCTTCCCAACCAGGCACAAGTTTAAAAACCGATCAGGAACAAAGATAGAAACCTTCATGAATTTTTTTTTAAAGGACCCACTTTCATAGTTCAAAATAAATTACTGAAATATTTTTAGACTACTTACCCTAAAAACAAATAAACAAAACCGCACATAATTTCGAAGTTTTCTAAGCTCTGTTTCTTCTAGCTACAAAAAGTAATTCAATCCAGGAAACAGACTCCTCCCCCAGCCCCCCAGAGCCTGTCCCCCAGCTTTAAACGCTTGTGCAGCCCAGCAGGGCGTGGCTCAGCGGCTGAGCGTTGACTAGGATCCAGGCGATCAGGGTTCGATTCCTCGTCAGGGCACAGGCCCGGGTTGTGGGCTCGATCCCGTCGGGGGTGTGCAGGAGGCAGCCGATCAATGACTCTCTCATCATTGATGCTTCAACTCTCTCTCTCTCTCCCTCTCCTCTCTCTGAAATCAATAAAGATATATTTAAAAAAACAAAACAAAAGAACACTCGTGCACACAGAAACGGACGGGAAGCCGTGACAACTGGCTGCCATAACCAGCCTGCCGCGCAGGTGGCAGTGCTGTTCTGGTCAGGGCACTGCAGAGACAGACGACAAGGCGGTAAGACCCACATTTCTTGAAAAGCACATCCTTCTTCAGACGGAGGGTCCCAAAAATGCAGGGCCACCTTCCAGAGTTTGATCTGCTGGTCCCACGAGCGCCGACTATACTTCTTGAACTTGTTGGGCGTCTTGGGGTGAACGCCAGGCTGTCGAAGGTGCCTGTGGGAGGGAGATTATGCTGGCGCACACCACGCACGGCTGCTCGCAGCCCGAGGTTAACCCAACTCTAGGAAAAGTCTTGTTAAAAATTACAGATCAGCACACACTGTACCACAGGCACCGTAATGGCGGAAACAGCACCACCACCTGACCCTGCCGCTCCTCTGCCACCTGAGTCCGGACCCTGCAGAGGTGGCGCCGCGATGACCAGGGCTTGTCCCAGGAGAAGGGAGCCAGGAGCCAGAGCTGCCTGCCCACCGGGCGCCGCTCAGCGCTCTCAGGAACCTTCACTGTGACTTTCCCTCTCTCCTCATCACATTTTTAATGACTTTTCGTTCACAAGACTGCTGTAAGTCTTGAGAAATGAAATGTTTATCAAACACTCTAAACGGCAAATGTGTTATTTTTTAAATCTTCTCTCCTGGGTTCTTCCGCCACCAGCCCTCTTTATTTACATAAGCAGGTGGTTCTGCCCAGGATCAGATTCACTATCTGGGCGTCTCCGCAGACGGCAGCGCCGTGTGGCTGGACGTGCCCCGCGGCTGGCCTACCTGGGGACCTCTCTAATGTAGCGGTCGTAGGCCATGGTGTTCTTCCCGTAGTTAATCTGCTTCTGTCTCCTCATCAGGACGCTCTCATCCGTCTCCAGGTCGGCCGGCACTGCAGGCGATGATGCCTTCGAGTCACAACTGGGAGAATGAAATTAACACCAGAACAAGCGTCTAAGATCACTGGGCGAGGAAATGTAGGAGCACAGAAATGAAGGCGACACTGTCCCCTGGATTTCACGCCACACGAACCCAACAGTCCAGAACCTCTGTATGTGTGGGAATCAAGTACATGACCGGTACATTCCAAACCCGTGACAACAGACTAATCAGCAAACGCTGTTGGCACAACTGGCATCTCTCGCTCACAATCTTTTTTGTGAGCCATCGACAGGTCTGTCCAATTAGAAAAGGAACAATAACCTGGCATTTACCTTCCCGATGATGATTTCCTTTCTCTTCCAAAGTCATTTATGAGGAGTTTTCTTTTATACCTGGAAGCAAAATAAACGTTGCTGTTTTTAAAAAAGTGTGAGAGTTAACAACTAACGCTTTTAGAACAACCCAGGCTCAGCCCCCCGGTGGTGGGTCTGGGTGAGTGGAGTCGGTAAGAGCCCATTCTGTCTTTATAAGACCTCCCTAGGTCCCTTCTTTTACATGATAAAGGTTATCTGCCAAGATCATACAAAGTGCTTAAAGTTGCCACCTCAAGGCCCTCAGGCCTGGGTGTGACACAAGCTCCTGCGGGCCAAGCTCCCTCCCAGTTCAGATTAAGTAGAGAGATCTAGGCAACTGAGAAACACCCCCCCATCCCCAAAACCCTATAGCCTTAAAAATATAATAAAAAGCTTTTCTTTCTACCACCACCATTCCCTGCCAACGGGACCTATGTGCCTGCTGGGCACCGCTCTCCTCCTCTGGTCTTGGAAAGAGACTGACCCCTGTTCCTCGTGGCCTCTAGAGGAAGCCTAACTCCTGTGGGAACGGAGAAGCTGTCCCTCGTCACTTCCTGTAAGGCCTCACTCTCTCCAGGACCCCAGCTGAAAGAGACTGACTTCAGGCATGACAAAACCCACTGTCAAATTTTCAGGCAGCTGGTTTGTGTTGTCTGTCATCCCTGCATGGAGTACAGGGAGCTGAATTCTCACAGCAACCCCCCCCCCCACGTGGGGAGTAAGGCAGACTACAGGCACCAGCAGGTCCAAGAGCCTGGGTATTACTAAAGGCAGCAGCACCCATCACAGAGGGTGTACCAATGGAGTGGCCCCAAACAGCAGGCCTGCTCTGCAAAGTAGGACAATTTTCAGAGACAGGCCTGCGAGATAACCGAGAACAAAGAGGGGCGCCCCTGCATAGCACAGGAGCTGCACATGGTCCCCAATGTGGGGTGACGGGGACACAGAGCACATGGGTACATTCTAAGAGTTGTTATAAGCCTCAGGAGCAGAGCACAGAAACTGCACAGACCAAGTCAAACAGCCTAACTTTGCAGTTGACCAATCAAGGTCCACATAAAGAAAACCAGTTACTCAAAACACTGGGCCCACTTCTGTCAACACCCACACACACTTTCATGCCCCCTGAATGGTTGTCACCAACCCCCACGTGTGCTGGTGCCTTTCCTAGGCAGGCAGCTGTGATGCCACCAGCTCTGCAGCAAATGCCTGCCACATGTTCTCAGCAGGACCAAGAACCAAGGCACTCATGGTTCAACACACTTCAACTAATTACGAGCCACCCCACTTTAACTCAAGTCATTCAGCTGGGGTGGGGGGCACGTATCGAAGGGGAGAAAGGCCCCCAAATACTAGCGAGGGTGTCATAAGGGAGAAACAGTGGTTAAGTTAAGGAGGTGTCATCTGAAGAGCCGCGAGTCCAGAAAGAGGACCTGGCATGGCGTTCGGGAGACCTGACACACAACAATTTGAGGTGTAACCGCAAGGGGTTCAAACTCCAAGTCAGGACCCCTCCCTGAGCTCTGGACACCCCAGGGCTGTGACCTGAATGAGGTGTCAGTCGAGTGCTGTCTGAAGGCAGCCCCGGAGGTGGGGGAGCTGAGGGCCGACACCTCTCACATTCCCAGGAGCTGCTGGCGGTGATGGTCGGGGGACCAGACTTCAAAGAGCCAGGGCTCTAGCACGTACCTCGTTTCAGTTTATAACAAACAGCACCGGCAACACCTCGCCGAGGCTGAAACACGCACCTGGCAATCTCCCTGTTCACCTTGGTCCTCATTTCATCTTCCTCCACGGCACTCGCCCAGTCTGAGCATCGAGGCCGGGGCTTCGGGGCTTCCGGGGTGGTGAAGCTGCGGGAAAAGGAAGCCTGCGCTTGAACCCTGGCACACTCTCCGTTTCCTTTCAAGTCGGAAAACAGGAAGTGGTCAGAGGTTGTATGGAGAGCGCCGAGGGGCAGGCTCCGGGGACTCTCCGCCTCAAACCCACCAGCTCACTGAATTTGGGCAGTTCGCTCACTGCATCCCTGGGCCCCGTCCATTACACTTTTCCTGCGCACCCACCATGTGCCAGCGCTGGCTAAATCGTGAGGACAAGTACACTGGTGGACAGGCAGGAGGCAGACAAGGTCAGCAAGGCACCATCAGCATCGAGAGGGGTGCCTAATACAACTCACTCTTTTATTTGTAAACTGAGCTAATGTTTCAGGACCTTAAAAGATTTCAGATACTATCTTAATGCTAAGCAGAGTGACCAGCTCTGTAAAGTTACTTAACAAACACTGGCTAGCCCGGCCAGTGTGGCTCAGCGGTTGAGCATCGACCTAGGATCCAGGAGATCAGGGTTCGATTCCCGGTCAGGGCACATGCCCGGGGTTGTAGGCTCAATCCCCAGTAGGGGGCTTGCAGGAGGCAGCTGGTCAATGACTCTCTCATCACTGACATTTCTCTCTCACGCTCCCTTCCTCCCTCTGAAATCAATAGATGCATTAAAAAAATAATAATTAAAATAAACAGTGGCTGGTATTTACTTTCAGATGCACACAGTTAATGATTCAGAATATACCACGTCACAATTAAAATTGGAGTGGAGGGGTAAGAATAGACATTGGAGCCCTGGCTGTACTGGCACTTAGCCTGCTGGGAAAGGTGCCCCCTAGGGCCGGGTTAAACGGAATCTAGGGGCTCGGTCCTACCTAGAACTCAGGGAAATCTTTAGTCAAGATCAGGCAACTTGGAAACATAAGGCTTGATGCCAAGGGCTGGGCAGTTAGAATTGCTGGTCCCTACAGATTAGATGTAAACTTGCAGTTTCACATACCCTTGGACATCTCCCATTGGCCAACCCTGGGTATCGAAACCAGGGCGCCAACCAGCAACCTCGTACCTGACATCCCGGACGCCGACCGACATGCTTCACGTTTTGTGCTTTGAAAATGCGGGAACAAGCGACTGTCCCTCTAAGAAACTATCACTTCTGCCCACAGTCATCCCACCCAGAGGAACTCAAGCTGGGTCTCCACAAGTTAATTTCCAGAGTCTAAGAATGGCCGGCAGGGCGTGAAATCAAAAAGTTAAGCCGACTGAGTAACTCCACAGGTACAGAGAACCGCAGGCCCGTCCCTGGTGGGCACCAACACCCCACCAGCCACCAGGCGGATCACGTCTGGGTCTCCCGGCCACAGCAGCTTCCTGAGCTTTAAAAGGTGCTTGTAGACCAGCTTCTGGGACGACTCGTGTTTGACACTGAACCACCTTCCCGGGTCTAGAACCCACTTCTCAGACCGGGCAGGTTGTATCACCCGCCCACCCCACCCGAGGACAAGAGTGCTTTTGGGGAAAGGGCCCCAATGGCCCCTATGCCGCACACGCTGAGCGACTGCCCTGCAAAGGGACCTGCCCTGCACCCTGAGGGTGGGGCTGGCCTGCTCCCCGGCACCCGCGCAGCCCCACCCGGTCCCGAGGGACTGGGGAGAAGGGCCCCGCAGGGCAGGGCGGGCGGCAGGGCCAGGACAGGAGCCTTCCTACCACGCCGAGGAGCGGGGAGGCCGCGGGCTGGCTGGTGGCAGAGGGTCCCGTGGGGAGAGCCTGAACCCCCAAGTAGAGGGTCCCGTGGGGATTGCCTGAACCCCAACTAGAGGGTCCCGTGGGGAGAGCCTGAACCCCCAACTAGAGTCCCGTGGGGAGAGCCTGAACCCCCAACTAGAG